CTCCTGGCTTCTTCTTTACATCCTTCCCACCTGCCAGTACCAACATAAATGCCTGATCTTATTAACTTTGTATCCAAATATACGAGAACTTGAATAATTTGATTTTTAGCATGAATATTGAGCTTCATTGATCCAGAAAACCAAAATCTGGGAACTAACATTATAAACCAAAGTGTACGGAGCATGCTGAGTTATGGCAGGTTCTAATAGGCATTCAGAATCCATGATGTATTCATTAAAAATAGACCTTTACAAACAAGCTGAAGCCCTGTGAGAGAAAATGGGATCCAAATGAAGATATCTATTAAATTCTCTTACAACTCAGATAATCTGCTAGGAATGGAGTCATGTTCAATGAGTTTCTAAATGACTCAGATTAAAAGGAAGGCATCAAGATAAGCCTGGCTCATGCCATCTGTCCTTTTAAATGTCCCTACCTATGGCTCTGGTGGCATAATGGTTAAGCACTTGCTGCTAACTGAAAGGTTGTTGGTTGAAACCAATCAAATTGTTCTGTGGAAGAAAGACCTGCTTCCATAAAGACTACAGCCAAAAGACCCCTCGAGGGCAGGAAGTTCTCGACACAATCCAAATCAACTCGAAACATCTACAACAACAACAACAACAACAACATAATGATTCTAGATTTTGAAATTCAGAGTAATGTGAAGGTATTTGGCTGAAGTAGGGTTTGGGGTTTTGTTTTTTGCTTGTTTGTTTGTATTTGTTTATATTTTCTCGTGTCCCTTTATAGAAAAGGCAAACCAAACCAAACTCACTGCCAACGAGGTGGTTCTGACCAAAGCTACGTTGAAGAACAGGAGAGAACTGTCCCTGTGGGTTTCCAAGACTCTAACTCTTTACAGGAGTGGAAAGTCTCATTTTTCTCCTTAGGAGTGGCTGGTGATTTTGAACTGCTGGCCTTTGTGTTAGCACCCCAACATGTAACCACTATGACACTAGAGCTGGAACCTCAATGATCAGTCTCGGGAAAAGAGTTAGTTGCAAACTTCTTTTAAGAAGAATCATCATTGTCGGGAATGCTAGAAAGCAAAATTGCACTGTACTTACCCAATGGCACCAGAAATTTTCCCAGGGTGCCCCTAAATGGAGAAGTGAGGAACAACAATATGACAGCATTTGATCATGGAATGCTTACAGCCGTGAGAAAGGGATTTATTTTATGTACAACCTTGTCCACAGCTTTCATAAGGCTTGAAGCTCTCAGGTAACTACTGTGTTATTGCTCGTCCTTCATCTATACCATTGTAAAAGCAACATGCTGAAATGTTCTGTATGGAATTTTCAAAAGCTAACAATCTTTCAAGATGTTGAACTTGATAATTCAGCACATTGAGAATTTGAGAATTTTAATAAGTCAAGTTTAATTGCAGGTGGATCAGTCCAATTATACTTGGTTGTAATCAGCACACCTACAAACAGGGGCACTCTATCCAAAGACACTGTAGTATTTTAACATATTAGTCAGCCACCAGATTTGAAAATATCAAATGAGTCACTTCTTGTCAGCGTCCTGTCTCAGTCTCAATTTTCAGAATACAAAAAGAAATTATACTAAGACAGAGTTTTCTATAAATACTGCTTCAACCAGCCCCAACAAAAATGCAGTGGGAATCAACAGATGCACACAAAATCAAAAGCCAGTTACTATGGGGTCATCACCTGTAACAAATTTGGTTTCATGTCTGATGACTCAGTAAATGTGCCCCAGTAGGGGCAGTTTACTACTGCACCTTCCAAAATACCCAAATCTTGTCATATATTGTTTTATAAATTCCACATCAAATTTAAAAATCAAAACTTAATATCTGTGGTTATTAGTTCAAAGACTTATTAAACTATTTAATGTCCACAGTAATGCATAAGTAAGCAAATTCAAGCACTGATGATGATCAATATTGGAAATTTAATTCTGTTACATTGAGTTTATATCCAGAGGTATGACACTTTATCTCTAAAGAGTTTTAAAACTGAATTTAATTAATTTGCCTCTCTTGCTCCCTGGAGATAAAGTTAGGTGAGAAACTCGTAACTAGCCCTTGCTATTCCCAATGCTTCCATAGGGTGTAGCTATGATGTTAGATAGCTTAACATTGAAGGCTGAGTATTAAGGAAGGATGTCTAGACATTTGAGGACGGATACTGACTTTCTTTGTTTTTAGCTTTAAATTCTATTAGTCAGTAATATGTTCAATGGAGAGAACAAAATGAAATACTTTCAAATTAATCAGTTCAAGTAAGATTTCATGTCCTTTTCCAAAAAAGAAAGAAGAAACTATAAACAAACAGATTTATATTCATACTTGAATGAACACTAATTTCTACATAAGTCGCTTATTCTTCAATTTCTTATTTAACTATACAATCCACTTACTTTGAATGACTTCTACATAAATAGGCTTCTGTTGGATAAAAACAGGATAAGCAAGGGGGAAATCCACTAACAATGCAACTCTTTTATTCAATAATAGGTCTGAGCAGTGTCTTAACATGCCCGTGTAAGCTAAAAAGGAAAGGGAGAAAGAAGTATTTCTCCTAAAATACAAGGGCAGCTTACATGCTGCAATGAAAACTGCCAACTCTTTTCGTAACAACACCATATGTCTCCAACTGGATTGCAAAGCAGTGGGTTCTCAAGGGAACATTATGCATGGAAGTGAACCAAAGTGAGGAGCAGCCTTTGCTGTAGACTGACTCACCCTTAGCCAGTGATCAGCTCTTTTAGACTTTTCAGATCTTCCCAGTGTTGATCCCAAGGGGTTTTCTATTTTCCCAACACTGTTCCCAAACCAATCAAGTCCTAAAAGGCCTCCTGGCTCCTCCACAGAAACATTCCTCTTTTGGTCTCCCTTCCTCTGCTCTCTAACCTTACTACATTTTCAAGCATGAAAATGCCTTACCTTTGAACTTTTCAATCATGGAGTTTAAGCAGACGTAGTTAAATAGATATATTCAAACACTATTAGTGTTCAGCTTATAAAGGATCAAAGGCAAAATGTTATATGATTGAAGAAGTTTCTTAAACTAGGAGTAAGATACAGTAAAAAATCTTCCCACGGATAAGGAGGTAAAGGGAGACATTGGACAGTGCAAGACATGGAAAAATAATAATAATTTATAAATTATCAAGGGTTCATGAGGAGGGGAGGGAGGGGGAAGGAGGGGGAAAATGAGGAGGTGATAACAAGGACTCAAGTAGAAAGAAAATGTTTTGAAAATGATGATGGCAACAAATGCACACATGTGCCTGACACAATGGATGGATTGTGATAAGAATTGTACGATCTCCCAATAAAATGATTTTTTAAAAAGGAAGAAAGATAAAATAAAAGACAGTACATTAAAAAGCTCTGCCTACCTAGGGAAGCTAATTTAGAAAATTGATAAAGATCAATGAATTTTATCAACATGACCAATTTAGCAGAATTTTCAGCGCTCAGAAGAATGTTTTTTCCTTAACATTAATTTACTGTAAAGTAATATTCATATTTATCTCAATCACAGATTGTGTATATATTTAATTGAACAAAAATTAATTCAGTTGAATTAAAAAACATTTTCCCACAATACTACATAGCTACCCTATATGCTAATAGGAGTCTTAAGAGTGCAAGAGTTGAGCACATGGTTGCTCTTCAGAAGGGTGACAGTTCAAATTCAACCAGAAACCCCAGGAGAGAAAGAGGTGGCAATCTGCTCCCATAATGCTTCCAGCCCAGAAGACCATCCGGGGAAGGTCTACTCTGTCACGTGTGAGCATATTGACTTGGCCACAATTTGCCAGCACCAAACCACAGTCACAAAGGCCTCCTCCTACAAGCTGGTTAGTATAAGGGAAGTTGAGATGTGTTCAGCTTATGTCCTGAACCCGTAATAAACATGATATATTCAATTTTAATATGCGGAGTAACATTCTGTTCTGAACTGGTGTCATTTTGTCTATCTCTAACACATTGTGAATCCAATGTGATCCAGGCATAAGCTACATTACGATTGACTACTGTCTTTGAGGAACTGCCAGTTTTCTGTTTTTGTGTTTTTCCCCCCTCTAATTTCCAATCTGTCAGTGATTGATATTTTTATTCAATGTAGAATGTTGTACTCTGATGTTATGACAACATCAAATTTCTGTGTGAAAAGTCTATAAATGCTTACCCTCATTTTGCGTACTCATCTTGTGGACTGGTAAAAAATCATTTGGGGACTGGTATCACTCTGGGAAATCCATTATGAACATTACTATTAGATACTTTGTAAATGAGAGAATAGGATACCAATATTAACGATAAGTGTAAAAAAATGTTTCACCTCAGTGTGTACTTGACCTATATTTTACTTTGTTTCCCTTCCATCTCCAGATAATTAAAAACAGAGTTTCCAAAGAAACATCAGAGATGTTTTAGTTAACTTGTGCTGCTGTAACAGACATGCGAGCGGGGGCTTTAACAAGCACCCAAGCATTTCTCTCATTGGGGATGGCTGCCTTTAGGAGGCGCTTTCTCTACGTGTTGGCTCTAGGGAAGGTCTCTTCTCTGCAGCTTCCGTGTCTTTCTGGTTCTGTGGAGATTGCCCTGTGTGCTGGGATCTATTTCTATCTCTATCTCTGCATTCCATGCTTGGCTTGCTCAATCTCTGATGTCTCAAAAGAGAGTGATTAAAACACACTCTACAGGCATCTTGCTTCATTAACACAACAAAGAAAGCGCATTCCCAAATGGGATTAGAACCACAAGCACAGAGATTAAGATTTGCCACCATGATTTTTGGTACACAATTCAGAACATAACAGAAGAGCAACCAAAATATTCTAAGTCGTTTCGAGAAAGAGGAGCTGCAACATAGCATTTTCAAAACATACCTATTGACAACAGCAACCTTTTCTCCCTTCAGTAACCAACCCAGGGCCTTGCCCTTCACTGATTATAATACAAGCAATAAGCCTCAGCACAAGGTTGTGATTATTTAATGACATTTCTTACCAGGGATGCCTGGTGGTGTTTTCAGGTATTTCCCATTAAAATGTTGAATTACCACTTCACATTTTTCAGTAGACTCCATTCTGGGAAAAGAAAACAAATAGAACATGTTACTTTTATGAAGTTGTATACACAGAGGGAAAAATGATTCAAAAGAAATGAAAAAAGGGTCGTGGTGGAAATAAGAGGGTGTGGAAAATGTTAATTTGCCCGAATGGTCAACTGTTGCAAAGACCACCATGGCAAGTAGGTGTGGACCACAAATGCATCATTGCCTTGAACAGTAGCCCAGCTCTATTGAAAGCGACTTGCTGATGATTTGGTGAGTTAGAATCCTTCTGAGATCGTTTAAGTGTATTGTGCCAGCCGGCCGATAGACACATGTGGGGTTAATTGAAGGGCGGAGGGGTAAATGGCTCGGTGAGCCTTGCCTTTTGAGTTCTCAGGTCTCTTGCTTTGTGACGGTCGGACCAGGGTGCAGCTGCCTTAGCCAGTTCCCTGCTTCAGCTGGCAAGGCTCACTTCCTGCAAGACATCCCAAGGAGAAGCCACATGGACCTACTCTGATGCAGCCCTGGGTGCTGGAGCAGCCGTGTGGAGACCCCTGCCAGCACTACATGTTCACTGATTTGGCTTTCCTCCTGCAGTCAGCATCTTAGTGTGTGTTTTGTGAGATGGAGGAAGATTTTGTGGATTGGTGTTGGACATATGGGCTAATGTTGGCCTTGTGGGCTTGGGCGGCACTGGGTTGGGATGCTTTCTTTATGTGCACTTACCCTTTATACAAAAATCTCTGTGTTATACATGAGTTTCTGTGGATTTGTTTCTCTAAAGTACCCAGACTAACACACCTCCTTACCAGATACAACTCTAAAATACTATCTTATGGAATTCACACAAATAAGTTTGGCAATTGGAGGTGCTTTATAAGTACATATTATATGACTGAATTGTTGTTGCTAATGCGTAGAGAGTTGACTTACATTCATAGCAATGTCACAAAACCGAGTCAAACTATCCCATGTAGTTTTTCAGACTATAAATGTTTTGGATGCAAGAGCCTCAAATTTGTTTCCCATGAAACCACCCGGTGGCTTCAAATGAAATGTTGCAAAAGTTTTGGTCAATGGCCAAGGGCCTTAGAAATTCACTCCTTAGAAAATAAGACAAGAGGGTCTAGCTATTGTAATTCATTCCAGTGGGAGCACTAGTGCTTAGACAATGAACCACTTTGCTAATAATGGTAGCATTAGAATTTAACCTTGGGCCTGCCTAATACTAAATTCTGTATATAAATTCTGAGCATACCGCCGAAGTACTCCACAAATAAAGCTGACGATATGTGCTTTATTTGAACCTCTTTCAGTTTATTTGAGGGGTTAGTGTAGAAATATCAGCATTAATATGGTATGTTTCATTGGAAGCACAATTAGTGATATTTCCCTAAAAACATTTTTGAGTCACAATTGTAGGAAGAAGGCTCATAAAAAAATTTTAACCATCAATGTTGAATAATTTTCTGTTGCTTTATACTAGCTATTAATAGAAGAGCCCTGATGGAATAGTGGTGATGAGTTGGGATGCTAAGTTAAGGTCAGCAGTTTGAAAGCACCAACTGCTCTTTGGGAGAAAGATGAGGTTTTTCTGCTCCTCTAAAGAGTTCCGGTCCTGGAAACCCACAGGCTCAAGCCTTCCCTATCCTATGGGTCATGGGGGTGGAATCAAGTTGATGGTGTCAGTGAGCTATTACTATTCCTAAATTGAGTTCCTTGTGCCAAATATTGGCATATCATAGACAAATAAATGATTGGACATTTTTATCCCTACCATTATAATGCCAATTTGGGCATAGTGTCTTAAATATTGTACTATTTGCCACATTTCTCAATAATAAATTACATCTTCCCATCAGCATTATTTAAAATTAAACAGTAGTATCATTATTAGGTGCCATCATGTTCCTTCTGACCCATTGTGCCCCTATGTGCAGCAGAATACAACGCCGCCCTGGCGTCTGCCACTTTCACAATCTCTGCGATGGTGGCGCCCACTTTAGCAGCCACTATGTAGATCCATTGCATTGAAGCTCTTTTCATGTTGATATTGACCCTCTGCTTTATTAATGATGATATCCTTTCATAGGGACCAGTTCCTCTTGAGACCATGTCCAAAGTACGTAAGATCAAGTCTCGCTATCCTCACTTACAGCGAACGTTCTGTTTGTACTTCTTTCAAGACAGATTTATTCCTTTTGGCACTCCTTAGTATTTTCAATATTCTTTGGCCAACACTGTAATTCAAATGCATCAACTCTTCTACAGTCTTCCTTATTCTCCGTCAAACTTCTGCAGACAAATGTGACAATTAAAAATTTCAGAGTGCGGGTCAAGCATCCTTTAGTCTTTAAAGTAACATCTTTTTAGTACTTCAAAGAAGTATTTTTGAACTAGATTTGCCCATTTGGATATATTTTCTTATTTATTTCTTGACTGTTGCTTCCATGGACACTGATTGTGAATCCAAGTAAAATAAAATCTTTGACAACTTCAAGATTCTCTCCATTTATTATGATGCTGCTTATTGGTCCAGTCTTGAATTTAAATTGAGGTGTAATCCAGATTGAATATAGCAGTCTTTGATTTTCATCAATATATGCTTTAAGTTCTCTTAATTTTCAACAACAACAAAAAATTGTGACTGCTGGATATTGCAGGTTGTTATTAAACATTCTTATTCTGATCCCCCCTTCTTCATAAAATCCAGTCTTCAGGATTATCTACTCAGCATACAGACTAAGTATGATGTGATAGTTACATAATCTGTTGTCAATTTGAGATTTAAGAGTGAGGGGGTGGAGTTTATCCTGTCAATCAGGTCACAACTTAGTAGCCTCATTTGGAGGTGCTAGGGAGACAGACAGCTTGCTGGAGGTAGGAGACATGCACATGGAGCTACAGTAGAGTCCTGGATTTGAAGGAGCCACTTGGAGACCACTGCTAGCAATGAGATGCCTCTACCACCACTGGATCCACTAGGCTTTCCACTCACTGGCCTGTGATTTTCCTGCATTCATGTGTTACATGAGTCTGAAGAGGAATTTATAAATTGTTATCAGACATATGGCCACTATCAGATTTATAGACTTGAACAGGACTGGGTTGGGATCCTTTCTTAATATATAATTACTCTTTTATATAAAACTCTGTCTTATACACATATGAGTGTCTATGAATTTGTTTCTTTAGTCAACCCAGAGTAACACTTACGGTAAAAGGAAACAAGCCTGACACACATCTTGACTGATTTGAAGCCACCCAGCATCCCTTGTTCTGTTAGAGAACTGCTTGTTGGCTTAAGTACAGTTTGTGTGTGAGTACAATTACGTGTCCTGGAATTCCCATTCTTCATAATGTCCAAAAAAAATGTTTGTGACCCACCCAAATGCCTTTGTGAACACACACACACACACACACACACACACACACACACACACGAAAACCTAGTTCTGTCATTCTTACTTTCAGCCAAGATCCACGTGGTAGCCGCAACAACATCGCTGGTTCCTCTTCCAGATCTTGCTTCAATGTCCAGTAGCTCCTAGTGGACGTACGACAATTCTTTAACTATCGTCAGCAAAATTTCACTTGTGTCTGATATTAATTCCATTGTGTTTTCCTCACTCTGTAAAGTCACCTATCTTCGGAATGAGGACAGTTGTTGAAGAGGTAGCTCTCTTCCACATTTCTTGGCATAGACAAGTGAGTACTCCCAGCTCAGAATTCTTTTGTGAAACTCTCTTCATCGGTATTGCATCACTCCTGGAGTCTTACTTTTGACCAGTGCCTTCCATGAAGTTTTCCTTCAATAACATACATTCTTGATCATACACAACCTCCTGAAATGGGTGCACATCAATCAATTGGTTTACATATAGTGGCTTAATGTTCCTTCCACTTTCTCTGGGTGCTTCTTTGCATTATTAGTTTACCCATCGAGTCCTTCAGCACTGCAACTTAATCATGATTTTTTTTCCCCCTTCAGTTACTTCAGCCTGAGGAATGTCTACCATGTTCTTCCATTTGGGCTTTCTTACTACACGTCTGTGCACATTTGTTCAGCTTTTTTTTCACCATTTGTTTCAGATGCTTTAGTTTCTTTATACTCAAGAGCAAGTTCTAAGTCTCTTCTTACCCCCATTTTAAGACCTTGTGTTTTCTTCAAGTATGTCTTTGATGTTGTCCCACAGCACACCTAATTCTCAGTCTTTAGTGTTCCATGTGCCAAATATGTTCCTGAGATGGTTTCTAAATTCAGGTGGACTATACTCAGGGTTGTAATTTGGCTCTCATGCACTTTTTTTTTTAGTTTGCTTCTTCTTCTACTTAAATTTGCATATGAGCAGTTGATGGTTGTTTTTTTTTTCTCTCGCTATACCTGTACCTGTCCCAACTGATGAAATACCAACTTCTCCATTGTCTCTTTCCACACATAAAGCCAATTCGATTCCTGTGTATTCAATCTGGCCACATTGATCTGCAAAGCATTACTGTCTGATTTCTATAGTCACTTCTATCACCAAGGCCATGTTTCCTAACCAGTGAGTCATTTTCTTTGTTTCCAACTTTCACATTTCCTATCAATCACCAGATGATCTCCAAGGATCTTGACTGTATGCTTGATCACTTTCAAGCTGCAGAAGTAGGTAAACATCTTCAATTTCTTCCCCTTCTGTATTAGTTATTGGTGTGTGATTTTGAATCGTAGTTGTATTAGCTTGTCTCCCTTATACATATATGGGTATTATCACTGACAGCAATGTCTTTTAGGATAGATGCTGAAATGTCCTTTTTGAAAAGGACTCTGATATCATTTCTCTGTAATTTGTCATTTCTGGAATAGGAGCCCATATGCTTGTTTGATTCAAAATGGCCAATACAATTCCATTCCAGTCGACTAATGCCCAGGATAGCTATCCTCCAGGGTTCCATTTATTTTTTTGGAAATCAACCTCCAGTTTTTATAGATTCACACATCCTTCATTCCCCATCCCCATGGTTAATGGCAATTACAGAAGTGCTTGCGTC